TGATGGTGGTTATGTTATTGATCAGTTGTTTCCTAGAAGAGATAAAACTTGGATAAACAAAAGTGTCGAAATTGAGACAGGAATTATGAGACAACCCTAATAGTAACGATGGGATATATATATCTAATACGCGGAGAAGATGGTACATCTTTTTAGTGCTTCTGTTCTTCTTCTCTCAAGATCTTCTAAAATCAGGTCTGAATCTATTTGGGTAGACTAATTCGGATTTTATAGTTAATTTCCGACGACACATGGGAGAGTATCAGCTATTTCCGCGGACGGAGTGGTGCAAAATCAGCGTTTCTCACTTGGAGAGACCGTCTAAAAAGAAGCTCACATGTATGCAGTACGTTGTTTTCTTGTTCGAGAAACTGTTGAGGCTTTTTCCATTGATTTACAAGTCCCATTCATTTGCTAGTGGATGACTTCAAAGGCGGATCACGATGAATGACAGCCCACTGAAAATCAAGGTGGAGGTGGTCAGTGTTGCAGGGATAAAGAAACGGAAAGTGCCCTGATGGAGGGCCTCCTTTTGGCGGTTGGTTTGCGCGTTAGGCGTTTCGATGCTAGCCCATCAACGCTAATGCTCTCTCCGCTAAGCGGCTAGAGCCAGACGGTGAGGGGGTGGGCGGACAGCGGCTTCAGCGGCGCGGGTACGACCTGCTCGATGAATTCTCCTATAGAAAGGTAATCCGTACGCATCGACACTTTGCGTGGAATTCACATGAAATCAACATTGAATAGGTGCATTATAAGGAGGGGCTGAGCTGCTTACTCTTCTAAGGACGGGTCATGGTTCGTTGCTTACGATTAGGCAGATGTCAGACTTTGCAACAGTGGCACCGCCTGCCCTGTCCGCACTTTTCGCCACCGCAAAGCAGGCAGACGCGCAAAATTGGGGGTCTTCGGCAGAGCGAGGCGGTGGCGTAACGCAAGTAATTTGTCTTTTGTGTAGATGTTTAACGAGGGAGAGGCGTTTTTGAGGTTTTTAGGAGGAGGGTTTTGATGATGGAAAAAATATCGTGAATGGACAGATATGTGTATTAATCACATCAGATATCATCCCTCTCGAAGGGGGAGTGCATAAAATGGTGGCATTTCAGCGACACTATAGACACCATTGACTGTCAGAGGTGGTCGTGAAGGGCATACACCTGGAGGAAGGTCGTGGCATTTCTTAATTGGCCCTACGGTTGCTTGATTCGGCGCTGGCGAAGCGCTCCACAATTTGGTCGTCTGGCTTGCGCTGCAATGCGAGCAGGGACAGCGACCCGCTCGGGCCGTGCGGTGTGGTCTGTCGCCAAGTCTGACCTCTGTCTTATTGGTTGACTGCTCACTGGTTGAAATGAGACGCTCTCGTTGGAACGAGCTTTCACTGCGCAAGAACGAGCCGTACGAAGTCTTTCTGAATCTTTCACGCATTTTCATTTCTCGTTTGAATTTCGCACTTTTTTGTATTTTGCCTTTGTTCCGGCAACGAATACGCCCGAATACACTTGTTTTTTGGAGAGCCCCAGTGCAAAAGTCGAAAACTAGCAGAATTCTGCAATCTGGATGAGAAAACTACTCAACTTATTAAAATAGTGTTTTCGTGTGTCTACTGCAAGGGACCACGTTTCTTCTATTTCTGAAAAAAGTGTGTTCCGCAACATCACCTGAGGGGTACGAATGATCAAAGCTGTGCAGTGGGCATTCAAACGTCACAGCACATTGCTGCTTGTACAGCTTTTTCTACTTGGAAACGTGCAAACAAAGTTGCTGTCGTCTGTAGTCCCTTAAAAGTTTGGGTGACTTGTTGCTTAGAAGTATTCTCGAATTTTGCTGGAACTTAGTCGTGGAGCGTTTTTTGTCCAGTTCATCGCATCATTACAACTCTTTTAGACCGCGGGGCCCATATTGTTATTGTTGAAGCCTCTGAGTATGTGAATAGATCGAATCGCTGCCATCTATAAAGATCTGCATGCGTAGTGCCTACCATTTTGTCGATTGAAAGCATTTAGGTGCCGCCGACACAAGGGGTGATACTTACTGCTTTATTTATATACCACCATACACAGGGGGCCAAAAAAAGTCACTTTCTTCCGAGGTAAGCAAACCAGCCCTTTTGGCGTTTCTGCTGGGACCGTATGCTGAATGTTGGGGAGGGGATGGGGTCCCCGAGGTCGACGGACTACTTCAACTCGGTCGGTACGATAGGAGAGTACTGACGCAAGTGGTGCAGCTGGTCCAGCAGCTCCGCCAAAAGGGCTGGTTTGCTCACCCCAGGACTAAGCCTTGGAGAGAGGCGCGGTCCCGTCCTCTCTTTAAGGCTTAGTTCTGAGGTAAGCATCAAATTGAGGCGGTTTTTGAGGATCCCATTCCCTCCCCAACATTCAGCATACGGCCCCAGCAGAAACGCCAAAAGGGCTGGTTTGCTTACTTCCTTCCTCCACGTTCAAAACTGATTTAAATACACGCTGCAAAATCAAACCAAATGAGCTTAACTCTACAGGGTGGTCCAAAATTATGAGGACCGCGTGCGCGCGCGGTCATATCCATTTTTTTCCGAGTCGCTCCATTTTCATTTCCTTTTCTGTGCACCATGTGATAGGGTACAGTGTATTCTTCCTTTCGAAACTATACTTCATGCAGTTCTCAAAACTAGTGAAAGAGCAACACCTCCTTATGTCATTCCTCAAATTGAACTCACTAAGGGGCTCTGGCACGTTACATCTAGCAGGCAGTCTAACGTATCAGGGAAGCTCTTATGGGCAACAGTTCAACTCTTCAATAAGTTTGGAACCACCACAGATGGAAAATTCGGAGACTCGAAAGTTACAGTTACCACCAGGACAATTATCAGATGCAGAAACTTGCTCTCCCCTTGTCGACTTTCGTACTCCCAAAATGAAAAAAATCGATGTGAAAACCCAGCCAGGCACTCTAAAGACTCCACATCTATAGTGGATAGGAAGCCACTCGAGTACCATACTTGGGACGTTTTACTGGACCGAGCACCCAAGAATAGAGCAAAAATTCTCTAAAAAGCGATTTTTCGAGTTTGTTGCTCTCGAAGAATTGTTACAATGGAACCCTCCACCTAACAGCTCTAGAATTCTGTATTTTACACCCTGGAGACATGGGTAAATGAATGCCCCACAAAACGTTGATCCCCTGAAGAAAGCAGAGCAGAAGGCCTGGAAACATTTTGACACGCCTCAGTTGCGTGCCACCGCACGCGCCACCCCCTTCGTCTGAAGGCTCGTGTAAACGCGGCAGGTGGCAGATCTCAATTCTATTCTGGAATTACTTTGAGATACTAGTTGCAAACACTTCCCTGTAGTTTGTTTGCTCCATCAAGCTACTATGCGTTTTTAACGACACAATGTCTTGGTCCTCATAATTTTGGACCACCCTGTATATCAAGGAGCACAGTGTGATCCATCAAAACGGTTACACAGCAGCCTTCTACACCGAATACATCAGGAGATTTTCTTACGGAAACATGGTTCACGGTACGAGATCATCGAGGTAATCGAGGTGCCATAGATCAGTACGACGTCCCTGGGACGCTAGTCGAAAGCGGTCTTGCAGTCACAGCTAGTGTCTCTTAGAGCTATTCACCAAGTAATCGGTTGAAGAAATCATGTAGCAGCT